CCAATGTCTCAGATGAGGGGTTTGGCAGGGTAAAAGATCATCTTATGCTTACTTCACCCCTCTTGAATTGTCTTTTTAATTAGCTGTTTGACAACTCAGAAGGGATGGGGTACATGTTGACCTATTGACCCCAGAAAGGTGATAGTGTGAAGCACTGTTCAGAAGCCACAAATATCAATAGCAATAAAAGATATGTAGACACACATATGTACACTATACACACATTATATATAAACTCTCAAGACATTGTAAAATTGGATTGGATCATGAATGATAAGAAGGGAGGGACTTATCAACAGACTAATTATCACGATTCCAGGATGTATCTTTGCTCAAAAGGTTTGGGAGACACCCACCACCACGGCCCCCACCCCCAGATGTCTCACAGGACTCAAACTCAACTCTGTGACTGTATTTTTAAATTCATTCGAAAGACAAGATGCCTCTGCCTTCCTTTTCCCTGTTACCTTCCTTGCTAGTACTTAGAGTGTGTATTTAGATTCTAACTCCTGGACTGGAGAGGAGGATGTAACTAGAACATCTGAAGCAGGAGGTAAGCGAAGGTGACAAACAGGGCAACGTATCAACCAATGAATAGGATTTATTAAACTGAAAGCCCTCCTATAGGTCACTCGTGGTGCATCACCTCATTGTAAGGAGCAGTTTAATTTTTACCACCGCAGCAGGAATGGGATATGGAGGTGGGGGGTATTTGGTGCTGGTGGAATAGAAGCTGCTCTTGATACAGCACCATACAGGTAAATGTGCATGGTGCTTTGCAGACATACAAGAAACCAGCTCCCCAAAGAGCTCGCATTTGAAAAAGACAACGTGCACAAAAAGAAAGAGAGGGAAAGGGTGCAATATTAAAACTAAGTGATTTAACAGTGGTGGGGGTGATTTTTGCAGCACCCAAAAGCATGCTGTGTGCTTTACAGAATACAAACAGACAAGGTCCCTGCCACCGAGAAGTTTACAAGACAAATTTAGACATGCTTGGGCTTGGGAGAATTCAGGTTTTTTTGGTTTTATAATTTTGATGGATAATATTGATGTTTATTTTTAAGCTTTTTGTAAAAAAGATTTGTATCAATTGAAATTTTCCACAGTTGCACAAAATTATGGGTTTTAAACATTTTTTAATTTTTAGCAATTTACATTTTCAGAGTTGTGGCAAATTACAGGGGGAGGTCAGACAATAGGAAAGATCAGAAAATTATTTAATTACAGTAGACAGAGATTCAAACAGTTAAAGTTTTATAACCATTAACGCAGAAATTGTCAACATCACATATGAAAATATACAAAGTAAATACTCTGAAATCAAACTAAGAAATTCTCAAGCAGCATTTTTCTTACTTTACCTATCTGTAAATTCTGATAATCATTGATAGAAATATTTTTTCATTGGTTCGTGTGTGTACGGTGCAATTAATGTTTACCAACAAAAAAATCTAATTCTTCCAAGCCTAGACCTGATGCAAAAAAGAGAGCAGCAAACAATGGGGGAAACAACAAAGGTAACAGCAGGAAAATTGTGTTGATCTCAGTTTTGGTATGTGCAGATCTCAACTGTGCCATTAAAAATATATGATCCAGATCTTCAGCTGGTGTGAATCCCTGTAAGTCTACCAACTTCATTGCAGTGCACCGATTTACACCAATTATGAATCTGGCTCATATTTCAATGTAGCTCCATTGAAGACAGTAGGCCTAAAGAGATTAATATCAGCTGAGGACCTGGCTCATAGATATATTGTCACACTGTATTTTATCTGAGAGCTTTGCTGTTATTTACCCTTTGTCCATCTGCCATTTCAAAATTAACATTTGCTAATTTTAAAACACAACTTGTACTTTTTTATTTTTATTTTTAAAAGGTCCTGCCTCCGTTCATCCCATGTTTAGCCTGGGTCTCACCCTTTCCTTTCATTAACTGCCTTCTTACTGATACCCATCAGATTACTTCCACGGTTACTTCGTTTTAAAAATAAATGCGTTTATTGTACTGCGAGCTCAAGTAAATGAATACTGAATGCGGGCATGAGAACTGGGGTGGGCTACAAGTGGGTCAGATGTATGCTTCAGAATTCATCACAGTTCACTCATCTTCCCCCAGAATGAGAATCTCACTGTGAGGGCGAGTCTGAAGAGCTCAAAACTACTGATCTCAGGATATTGATCATTTCACTACTAGATCCCTGGCTCAAATCCATCCCAGACCAACGTGTACCAAAAGGCATCACCGCTTAACGGCAATATGGCAGCAAAGGTGAAGACTCGCTCTGCGGTCTCACTGGACACATCACAGATAGCAAAGGCTACCACAGCAACTGGCACTTTTAATATCTCTGCACAAAAGGCTTAATGGGTGCAGAGGTTCAATTCCCTACTCATCCTCCGGATTGGTCGCTTCAAAATGAGGTTCAGTAACACTAGTGGGAAGGAGTAGGAATTCTGTCCTGTGGGTAAGTAGAGAGCTTTGGGTTCATGATCATCAAGCCACCATCATGTTCACTTTAAAGAAGATCGGAATGGGGGGGGAGGAAGTATGTTGATAGATCAACCCAGTTATCTGCTCCCACTTTCATGCCTGATCCTTCATTGTGCGGGCTACCTCCATCAGAACAGAAGCTCCTTGGGGCAAGGATCTTGGTTTCCTAAGCACCTGTGAAGCACGGTAACACTATATACTGAAAACACTACTTAAGGAGTGAGTCACCAGAAGATTGACACTACACTGCCACCACCTTCTATCCCTAAATCCCTACCAACAGCAGCAATATATATATATATATATATATATATAAAATAAAGAAAGAA